CGGGGCGGGGTTCCCGTAGCGGCTGTAGGAACTCCCCTGCGCCGCCAAGCCGTCCTGCCCCCCAGCGCTCCCCCTGGAGGAGAGAAGGGAGGAAATGGGGGGAGTGATGAAATGGAGGTGAAAGGTGGGGGGCAGGGATATGCCAGGGTGACGTGGAGTCTCACGGGATGGGAGCATAGACAGTGTGATGGAATGGAACGGAGGGAGCTCGGGGACTCAGTAAGGGGCACTCTGCCCTCAGAGTCTGACCCCAATGTGGTGCGGGGCTGAAGGGAATTGGGTGGCAGCTCGGCCCAGGGCGCTCCCCCTTGGCATTCAGCACTGACACCGCAGCCCATGTTCCTGACAATCCGGATCTTGGGTCCCGCACAAATCTCAACTCTGAAGCCTCCATTTCACCTCCCTGCCCTTTTCCCCGGCAGCAGCTCCATGGCAGTAGCCACTGGATTCAAGGTCTTGCTTCACTTCCTGTCCCAAATGCCTGCCCAGAGTCCCTGTGAGGCTGTTCCCCACATGCACCACTCCAGAGGAGGCTGCATTTCAGCACTCGGTGAATGACACCCATGCAATGCCGCTGATCCCCAGATGCCTCCCCCCAGAGGTGGCTGCATTTCAGCAGAGGTGGAAATAACTCCGAGATCCTTGGAGATGGAAGGTAGCTAGGTAAGGTATTAGTCCACTGGCCTGAGAGAATCCCAGCTGACAGAAAGCAATGAGGGCAGCCCCTGGTGGAGCCAAGGGGCGAGAGGGAGGGATAGCTCATTGGCCTGCTAAACCCAGGGTTGTGAGTTCAGTCCTTGTGGAGGTCATTTAGGGATTTGGGGCAAAAATTTGTCTGGGATGGTATTTGGTCCTGCTGTGAAGGCAGGGGAACTGGACTCAATGACCTTGCAAGGTCCCTTCCAGTTCTGGGAACTAGGCAATCTCCACTAATTATTATTATTATTAATCAGGGCAGCCAGCTGCTGGCAAAAGGGGCTCCTTAGGCAACCCAGCTGGTGGCTCTGTGCCCCAGACTCATGCCTGCCTCCACATGCTGTGTACCTGCAGGGATCTATGACAGTCCGTCCACTAGGCCCCACTTCCCTCCCAGAGCTGGGGATAGAACGCAGGAATCCTGGCTTCCAACCCCCTGCGCTAACCACTCGATCCTGCTCCCCTCCCAGTTCTGGGCTAGAAACCAGGAGTCCCTGCTAGCAGCACCCTGCTCTAACCACTAGGAACCACTCCCTTCCCACAGCTGGGGATAGAACCCAGGAGTCCTGACTCCCAACTTCTCGCCCCCCCCCTCTAACCACTAGACTCCACTCCACTCCTGATGGCACATCTTGGTTCCAAAGCCGAGATGGGCAGAGCAGTGCAGCTGCCCTGGGCCGACAATAAATGACAAAGGCTTCAGACGCACATTTTGAATAATTAAAAAAACTCCAAACTTTATTGCCATGAAAACAAAAGCTCCCGTTCCCGTGTTGAACGCTAACGCCCAGAGCCCTGGGGATTGGGGGGAGGGAGACAGACGGGGCAGAGACCAAAGAGAGACACTGTCCACACAGCCAGCCAGCCACAGGCTGGAAGGCCAGCGTGGCGGACAAGGCGCTGGGCTGAGAACCAAGAGCTCTGGGACCAAGCCCTAGCTCTGTCACTAAGTGGAAGTGACTTTTGGCAACTCCTGGATGCTCCGATCCTCCAAGGTGTGTAACAGCTGGAGTTCAATGGATGGACTGGGGCCTTTCTGTAATTTTCAGAGGAGTCCCGTGTGTGCCTCAGTTTCCCTTGTATCTGGCCCTGTTACCCAGTGGGGGGAATAGTGATCAAGTTTGCTCTCCAGACAGGAGGAGTCCTCCCCCTGCCTTGATGGAATGAAGACCCCTTGAGGAACTGGTTGGAAACGGACCCAGATTAACAAGGTGGCCTGCAAGAAACAAACCAACCTCTGGGGTGTCATGGATTCCCCGCCCCCCCTCTGTTGGGAAGCTGAGCAAAAGGCCCAGAATGAATGAGAAGGGTAGGGGAGGAGCACTGGCCGTGGGAGGAATGAAGGAGGCCAGAGAGCGACAGACCATGCAGATCGCTCCAGCTTGCCTGGGGCAACCCTTATACCTTCCTCCACACTGACCTAAGAACCCCTATGTGCTGGATCAATGGTTACCTTGTTTAGAAAAGGCTACTGGTATTGATGGGGAGCACTGAGTATGGGGAATCTGACGCCTTGTAATCACTACTATAGAATAGTCCCACTTTGACACAGGCGCACCTTTGACTCGCTCTGAGGCTCAGTTTTCCCATATGTAAAATGGGGAGAACACGCCTTCTCTTGTCTGCCTGTCAGTTCTCAGGAAAGGCCTGCCTCTCGTGGTGTCTGTGCAGTGCCTGACCCAACGGGGCCTTGATCTCAGCTGGGGCAGGGACTGTCTCTCGCTGTGTGTCTGAGCAGCATCCAGCACAAGGCCCTGATCTGTCGAGGCAGAGACTGTCTCTCATCGTGTCTGTGCAGCACCTGGCACAACAGGGCCCTGATCTCAGCTGGGACAGAGACTGTCTCTCACTGTGTCTGGGCAGTGCCTCGTGTAATGTGGACAAGATCTCAGCTGGGCCTCCAGGTTCTAATATTTTTTAAAACAATAACTGCAACAGATTCAGGTCAGGGAGGTTTTAGAACCAATGTTTTCCAGCATTAATAATTATGAACTAATTAACACTGTCATCAAGCCTCATGACATCCCTGTGATGGTTACAGAGGGGGAAACGGACACGCAGAACAGGGAAGAGTCCTGCCCAATTTCGCACAGTGTGTCTGTGAAGAGACACAGGGATCTCCACTCCCAGCCTTCCTGTTTTAATGCAGCGGGCACCACTACGCTCCCAGAGATGGGGACAGACTGCAGGAGTCTTGCTTCCCAGCCCCCTCAACACTGCACTAACCACTAGCCTCTTTTGCCCATGACCAGCTGTAATGCCTTCAGGGGAATGGGAGCAAAAGCAAGATCCCTTTGGGGGCATCTGACTACTTCCTCAGCTTCCTGAAGGGACCCTTAAGGAGGAACTGACGGTCGATAGTGATTCCCTCTTGAAACTCTAGCAATTGGCAATTTGTAGACACTCTTTTTAGGAGGCAGCTGTCATGGATCCACGGGGAAACCCACCCAACCAGGAAGCTGGAGGGCGGGCTCTTTTTGTTGGATTTCGCTATTGGCAACATGCAACGGATCCCCCTTTGCAGGGAACCCTCCAGTCTGGCAATTTGTAGCAGATCCCTTTGAGGGAAGATGCAGCTGCTATTGGCTAGCCCGTCTGTCTGGGGTGTATCACGGTGACGGCTGGTCGGCCGTGCATCCTTTTTCAGATCCACCCATCAAGGGCTGCAACTCAGTCTTATTTGGTTTCAGTTTTTGGCAGTGTGACGTGCAGCCACTTGAGAATACTCAAAGCCGATCTCGTTGTGGGATCAGCTACTGGTGATTGGCACTGGATTTCTTTTAGATTCATCCACTTGGACAGTGTTTCTCAACCTTTTATATATATATAAGTACCCCCGGTACCTACAGTTTTCAGACACACACATTTTTTTCTACCATTGCAACACATTTGTTTAAAGAACTTAATTGTAGCCGGGCGGGCGATGAAATGTGTGGGTGTAAAAAGTACTAAAATAATAAAACACTGTAAAACTTAAAACAAAAATTCAATTTTCTCCAGATTTCAGTTGTGTTGACGTACTCCCCCCCCTCCAGACGTCTCTCAAGTACCCCTAAGGGTCCTCGTACCACTGGTTGAGAAACACTGGCCTAGAAAACAAGGAGGAGGTTGTATTGTGAAGCTGGCAACTGGCAAGCAGCAACCCGAGACAGTATTTCGGAGCCGGGCTGGTGGACAGGAGTGGTTCGTTTGAAATGTACCGGCTGCAAATCGCATGGGATCTGATTTTAACCCCCATAGGTGTTCAGCAGCGAGTCTTTCGCCTCCAGCAAGCATGGACCTCAAAGGGCACTTTGCTCTGAACTCGACCCCCACCGGATCCCCCTTAGATCCAACGAGAAACGTAAGGGGATCCAATGTCGGATTACAATGTTAGCATTTGCGGATCCCTTTTAGATCCACTAATAAAAATAAAGGGATCCCCCTTTTAAGTCGGCAATTTAGTGGATCACTTTTAGATCCACCCAGTGGATCCCAGCTAGACCCCAAGACAAACCGGGGGTCCCGTTTCCGAGTCTGCTGTTGCCAATTTGCAGTGGATACTTTTTTTTTTTTTTTTAAAGTCCAGGAAACATAATGGGGGGGATTCGATCTGGCACCAGGCAGCAGGATCCCATTTCGAGATCCAGACAGGGAGGGATCTCTGGGAGCGTTGGCTCAAAGGACAACATAGGCATATTAAAAAATGGGAGCAGTGGGGGAAAGTTTCTGCGTTATCGCAACCGGATCCCCGGATCTTCCGAGGGTTTTTTAGGATCATTCCATAGAAAAACCAAACAGCCCGGAAAAAAAAAACACCCACCGGGCCACAGAAATAACCCAGCGTTTGTGCCAGCCCCACCCACACGTATAAAAAAGGGCAGGGGAGGGGTGCTAGGGCAGAACACCCCCCCGCCCATCGCCCAAGATCTCAAGACACAACCGGAGGACCAGGCATGGGGAGGGGCACACGGCGGCGACGTCAATGGCTGGTGTTTTCCGAGCGGGTGAGGGAGCTGGGATGGGGAGGAGGAGGCAGAGAGAAAGACAGAGAGAAGACAGGTTAGATCCCAGGCAGGCTGGGGGAAACGCCACCAAATCAAGACTCCCCCCCCCCACACACACACACACAAAAAGAGACTGGGGAGCTGAGCTACCGGGCAGTTCTGGGTGCGCAGGGGGAGTGGCTGTAGGCGCCGGTTCTGCTGGGCCAAATTCCACAGCCCTGGAAAGCCGGGGAAGGGGCAAAGCTGAGTGACTAGCCCAGAGCTGAGAGGCAGCGGTGCCAAATGAGAGCAACGCGGTGCGTGGCCCAGTGCATGCAAAGCAGGAGTGTGCAAACGTTAGTGCGTCTTGCAGGGATCCAGCTGTGGGTGCAAACCGTGGGTGCACAAAACCAGTAAGGGTTGCCCTGGGCCAACCCCAGCCATTCAAAAACTGAGCATGCAAAAATCACTGCAGCCCCCATGAAGCAAACATCCCGAGCAGGCAAAGTGTGAGTGTGCAAAATCGGAGTACTTTGCACAGGCTCAACACTATGCTGTGCAACAGAAGCATGCAAAAGCAGCACAGCTGACATGGATCCAAGCTGGTGTGCAAAGTATGAGCATGAAGAAATGAGGTAGCTCATACTAGCCTAACATGCTGGTGTGCAAAGGGCAAGTGTGCAAAACCACTTGGTTCACACATATCCAACATCTGAGCATTCACAGGATACATGTGAGCACTCAGACTGACTCACACAAATCCAACCCGAGTGTGCACAATTAGTGCAGCTCGCACATATCCAGCATCTGGGTGTGCAACACGAGCATGCAAAATTGGTGAGGCGTGCAAAGATTCAGCAGTTAAGTGTGTGCAAACAGTAAACATAAAATCAGTGCAGTTCACCCGCACCCCGCAACTAAGCTGCAAAGTGGGAGCACGTAAAATCAGAGCACTTTGCACGGACGCAACATGGTGCTGTGCAAGACAAGCGTGCAAAATCAGTGCAGCTGACATGGATATAATCAGGCCTGCAAAGCATGAGCATGGAACATCAGTGTGACTCACACAGATGCCACCCCGGTGTGCAACATGAGCATAAGTTGTGCCGACGCAGCAGTTAGTGTGACCGTGCAAAAGAAGGTCTGTGTGCAACGAACCAACAGTCCCACACAAAACTAGACAGAGATCTAATCAGGACTCAGTGAGACCGTGCAAAACTAGTGCACCTTGCACCAATCTGGGACCCGCCGGGAATGGGAAAGCCAGTATAGCTGGCACCTATCTAACACTCGGTGCGGACGTGTGGAAGCAGGGGAGACAGCATTATTTGGACAGCTGGGCAGCATGCAAATCGGGGCCTGTCTCATAACTTTGTATTAGAGCCAACATGCGACGCTAGTAGATGGGACATTTGGCACGGTCGTGCAAGCAAGCCAAGGGCTGGTAGTCACGGGTGTGTGCACAATAAGGCCAGCGACCTGCAGGTGGGCACGCACGACGTGCGGGAGAAATGTGCCAAGCGGGTGGGAGTCTGGTCCAGCCCCCAACAAAGCAGCTGGTTCCACCTCCCGGCTGCGGAGCGACGCGGCCACATTCACATCCCCAGAGTCTGGCCCAGCGCTGGGAGGACCCAAATCCATCCTGCTGCTGCACTATCTGGGCCAGAACAAGGGTCCTGCTTCCCCCCTTCCCCCTGCGATGGTGCTTGGGTGAGTCAGAACATGCCACCCTGCCCCGCTTCGCCCAAACTGCCAGGAACAGCCCTCCGCCCACAGCCCAGATCCAAGACCTGTAGGATCAGCCTGTGCGCTAGAGCCTCAAGATATCTGACATCCAGCGACCCAGACCTCCAGGGTTGGACCCTGCCTGGCAGCTTAGGACTCGAATCCCCAGGACCGGGTGCGGCCCAGATCCCCGCAAATGGACTCCACCCAGAACCCCTCACTCAGATGGCAACTCTGTCCCCGCAACGTGCCTCCCCCTCCCCGATCTGTCCGGCCGCTGCCCTCCATACAAGGGCCCAGCCTCCTCGCCAGGCTCAGAGCAGGCCCGTACCTGGTTCTGCGTC